GAGAAGGGACTTGGGAAAGCCGAGGGCAATGCCCTCTTCCGTAGCTCGGTGCTCGGAAACGGAGAGCTGGATAAAAGGCATGCCACAGGGAGAAGGGGCGGGATGGGGACACAAAGAAAAATCCAGCCCTGCAGAAAGCCCTCTTTGTCTCCTTCAAAACTGCTGGGATGTTTCTGAGTCGGGATGGAGGCCGGCGTGGAGGGGCCCTGCAAATACCCCCCATCCCTCTTACGTGTAAAACGTTCCCCGGACACAGGATTTGGCAGTGGGAATGGCATGTTATTCCGGTGTTATTCCCTGCCCCTAAACAGCTGAGCTGGTGGTAAGACACTGGATCCTGCAGCACATGCCTTCACTGGGTGTCCCCCAACGTGGGGTGACAGGATGGATGTGTCCGTGACAGCCCAGCTCTACTGTTCTCAAGCAAGGGGCCAGCGAGACAGCTCACCCCTCTGCACCTCCTCACCATCCCTCCCTCCCTCCGTCCCTTGGCCAGACCCATTCCTCCTCCCAGCCCGCCACGGCATCCTTGTCCTTTCCCAGCTGGCAGCACCGGGATGTCCTCCCCTTGCAGCAGGGAGGACGGTCTGGAGAAGGCTTCTTCCTGCTAATTCCCTCCCCGAGGGCACGTTTCCTCCTCTCAGAATACAGCCATCATTGCTTTCCCCACTGCGTCCCCTTCGCCCTCCCCACTGCCCCAAGCACCCAGCTGGTGGGACTCACAAAATAAACATCCTCCCATCTGCTCCCGCGCCCCAGCCTGGGAGATGACAGAGGCGATAATTACACACTTGGCACAGCAAAATTATCCAGCGCGAGGGAGAAGAGGCCGGAAGCAGCTGGAGATCATCCATGGGGAACGCTGCTCCCACCCACGGTGCCTTCGTGCGTGCCTCACCCCAAACCGGCCCGGTGCTGCAATTTTTGTACTGTGAACGCACTCGTCAGGCCCAGGAGGGACGGGGTCCGACCCTGTGCGAGCGTCCCGGGTGCAGGAGCTAACCCGGCAGACGGGGAGGTGAGGATGCGCTGCTGCAGTGAGGGGTTTGGAGGAGCAGAACTAAGGAAAGGCGGTTTCCCGTGGAGCTGAGAGTCACAGCTGTGATCCCCTGGGTCTCCTGGAGCGCGTTCTCCAAGGATGCCATTTTACCGGGGAAGGCTTCGTGTGAGCTGTCACTCACACACGTTTTTGGTGCGAGATAGGACACAAGCGCTCAGATATCCTGTCCCTTCCCCACTCCCACGAGACCTCTGGGAGGGACACTTGCAGCTCATTCACGAGGCTTCCTTCGTAACAAATTCCTTTTTGAAGAAAATTTATTTCCACTCAATGGAGGGTCTGCGAAAGCAGAGACCCTCAGGGGTCTGCGGGGATGGTACTACCCAATGTCCCATGCACAGGCAGGTCCGGGAGCGCAGCCTGTGTGGTGCGTTAACCAGAAAAATCCTAGAGAGGAGTGAAGAGAGAAATAATATTAGTATGAGTAATAACAACGATTAAATAAAAATAAATTACACCTGCTGAAGGGGACAGGGCGCAGTGAATCCTCCTTAAAATAGATCCAGAGCCTGATGGCTTTACATTTTGCCTTGGAATGAGTAATATTGGGCAATCAACATTTATTTTCCACAGCCCTTCCCGTACCAGAAAGTCACTGGAGCTGTTTCCCTCCCCCAGGCCCCAGTGTGAGCGCTGATCACGGGCAGGGGGACGGGCAGGGGATGGGCAGGGG